CTTATTTATTCGTTTCCTGATATTTTGTCGTCTGAAAGAATCTAAAGTAGGAAGCTCTTGCTTGATCTGGGCTGGATCGCACTCTCCATTCTTTATTCTTTGCTTAGAATCTCCGATCGTTACTTCTGATTGCGAGTTAAGGGTACTTTGCTACCGTCCCAGATGTGTTCATCGTGCCTGAGAATACCTTAACCAGACAATGGATACGTATGAGATACTGCCTTTTACTGTTGTTGGTGCTCTTTTCACCCTTTCACTAACTGAAAGAACGTTTCATTCGAAAATATGTGAAGAACTGAAATTCTCTTTTACATGAATAACGGGAAACAAAATAATATAAAATTAATTTTATTTGATTTTTTTTTTTTTTTTTTTTTTTTTTTTTTTTTTTTTTTTTTTTTTTTTTTTTTTTTTTTTTTTTTTTTTTTTTTTTTTTTTGGTGACGTAAACGATCACATGGTTTTTGAGACCTGTTTGTCGATATCCGTGTGTTATAAAGCCCTTGAGCACAGCAATGGTTAGTGCCCTAAAACTCTGCACATCTAGCCATATAACCTGGCAATTAAACTGACCGAGCTTAACCGATTAGGTAATATCCAGACGGACGCGATGAAGAGCAACAGAAAATTAAACAGAACAAAAAATTCACTTGAGAACGAGGTCCTGCTTTAGTGTCACCAATAAAAAACTCACTCTTCAATTGCCTGGCCATCGTGCTTGAAATCCGCGTATCCCTTCATCTTTCCGACTTCGTAAGACAGTTCCTTGTATGTTTTGAAGGTTTCGAGATTTGCAACCGTCGTGGAGCCCGTTTCATCACTCCTAACAGCTATCAGTCCTACGCGGACGTTCTGCTGGGAGACGTCGTAAGCAGACATCATCTCCTGACGAAGGTTCCATCTAAAGTTCACCATTTCTTTTATGATTCATTCCAGACCATTCTGTGAAATTTGTTTACATTTATGTTGAAGTTTATAGGTGGCAGGAGCAAACATTTTCGAATATGGATACCGCTAAAAATGCTGAAAATTCATAGTTCGCCGAAACTTAACACAACCATCAGCAGTTAGAACCCCGATGTCGAGCCTCCTCATCTTCGCTTATAACGAGGGGATTTCCAGAGCAACACAGTGGAGGGCAGAAGTGATGTTGGGGCAGGTGACGCCGCCTACCAATCCCTCCCCCGGAGATCAAATAATCATTTCCCAGTCCAAGCCAACCCCCCCCCCCCTTCAACCCCTGAGGAGTATGTGTCTGGGAGGATAAAACACTGATTTACACGTCGGCGTCATTGTACCACCAGTACGAGACCAGACCAGCCAGCATCAATACGACCCCTCCCCTGAAATCGGGTCCTGATACGACCCCTCTACTTTGATTTGATGTGAATAAGCGGCTTCCATCAATGTACAGCAAAGCATTCAGTTGCAGCGCGGTTTATCCGTGGGTCAGATTTGCCGAAACCCCGCTCGAAACCGTCGAAATCTACACTCTCGATGAAAAGGTTCCATTCCCATTTCATAAGTTTTGGAGCAGTATGTGGTAGGTTAGATAGAGCTGGATTTGCTACTACCGGGCTAATATTAAATTTGATCTGAAACGTTTGCACTCGAGAGACTTGGCGTTTCCAGTTTTGTCGAGTCAATGTCGAGGCGCCGATAATTTTCAGTGCAGACTCTTTCTAGATTGGTATGGAAGTTCAGACAAGAAGACCAGTTGTTGAAAAGCGGAACAAAGATTGCGCTTCTAACTGTCGTTCTAGCTGCTTTCCAATATCATTATTTGAGGAGATTTTTGCAGTCGATTTTCTACGCAAGGATGATTTTTGATCACCATAATCGCTAGTTCGTCCAAAGAGAAAGATGGTTACGAAAACTACACTCATATGGACGGCGGGTGGCTGTCACAAGCCAAGGAGGCATGGAAAGAAGCGCGCGCTTGGGGCGGTCAAGTGTCGAGCGAGATTCGCATTGAAAAGAATTAGGTTAGGCATTTGGTTTTGAAAGATATAGGAAAACGAATTGGTAATAGGCAATGCATTAAAAGATCTGAGATATTAGTGGCATAAGTTGAAATATCAAAAAGAGTTTCTACAGGGTGGGGCAAAACTACTGGTGCACCAATATTTTGCTGGCATTTCGAGACTAGCTTTCAGAAATGTAGAAAAGATGACAATTCAAAACGTATAACAGTTCTCAAAATGATCGCCTCTAGCCTTTACACAGTTCTCTGAGCATTTGGCATACGCATGCCATGTGGCACGCAGGTATTTTTCATCAATTTTGTCCCAGGATTCCAAAAGCGCCGTCATGAGAAGGTTCAAATTTCGGTAATTGATAGGGCAGACTTTTTCCTTTAGGATAGCCCATACTTGGAAATATATCGGTCTTTCCGAAGAATTGGAGAACCATTCGTCATAATTGGTGGAGTTGAGGGTTTGCTCGGTGCACTGTTTCTGGACCATTCACGGTCAGTGTCCCTGAAGCAAACCCTCCGGTGAATTCACCCGTAGTCATCTCCAAAGTGAAGACGCCCATGGTTTTGAACAAATACCGAGTTTGAACGCTATTTGAACAAAATTTGGGGATTTGAAAAATCGTCGAGAACGGTTTCGCATAGCGCTCTGCTGGAGGTTGATTGGTGCATTTCACAAAGTGGAAGGCTTAACCAATTTGTGTTCAGGGCGTATTAGTAGCAGAGTGTTCAAGCTACATACCATGAAAGAATTAGACAAGAAAGTGATACAACAAGATTCAAAAAAATCCATTATATTTAGGTGCACCAGTAATTTTGCCCCACTGTAGTGCCGCACTGCGGGAACCAAGTGGAAGCGTTCCGCCAGCATGTTCAGCGTAATTTTGAACGCGGCAGTCCTTCCGGTTTTTCGAATTATTTACCAAAAAAAGCATATTTTTCTGTTCTTTTCATTCTTATCGTGGATGATGGGTCTCAAGCCAGTAGATATATGGGTGAGATAGAATCATGATTGGTCCGAGAAGGATTCCTTTGATCAAAGTCTACTTCAATCATGCTCACTATTTAGCCCACGACACAGATTCGCTCAAATAAGGAAATACCTTCTTATTCCACGGCAGAGCGTTCCACAAGCAGCGAAAATTACATGTCGAAAAGTCATGTAATTTTGTTCAGGAATAATTCGCACCCAGCTCGTTCTGCTCTCAAGAGTAAGCAGTTTCATGTATCTTCAAGGCCTTACCGACTTCAAGTACGGAATTGTCGATGACTGACATGAAGTCAAGTTCGCTATCAAATCCGCACTTCATCTTCTTCCGTGATCAGAGAGGTATTGCTGACAGAATGTAACTTACAGCGAAACCAGAAAAATGACTATTTTGTTATTAAGGCCTTGATACAGGTCTTCTTGGGGGCGAACGGCGAGACTGCCCTCCCAAACTTTCGAATTCCTCTCTTAGTTCTCAAACTTGCTTTTTCCCCTCTAACTGTGAGCAAGCCAAGGAGTAAATGCAAAACCAGAAGCACCAACAATAAGCAACTCACATCATCCAGTCGATCTTTCGCTTCCCTGCTGACGTCGACGAGGAACAGGATATCGAAGCGAAGGGCTTCTAGCACTTCTGTGGTCGTCATCCACTCGGTTGAGCTCAAGGTCGTGGTTGTTTCAGGCACTGTTATGGTCGTCGTGGGGGCTGCTGTGGTTGTGGTCCCTACAGTGGTCGTTGAAGGCGACATACCGCAGTATATTCCACCGTTTGCACTGAAAACAGGAAGTACGGAAAAGGTTGTCCTTTTACTCGACGCACTGTTTCACAATCAAGTTCACCTTTCAAAATTAAGTGAATTCAAATTTGTTTGCTTAAGAAAAACTAGAACTTTTGCAGTGAAAATCATGTGACTATAAGGAGATTACACACTAATCTAGAGACTCAAGCGGGCCCCTGCGCTTATTGGTAGACAGCTTCTTATAAGGAAGGAAAAGGCAAAGCGCACCAATGAGAATTCAACCTATTTACTTCCACAAAAATAGTTTGAAAGTTGTTTATAAGGGTAAAGCAGACCACCGCGTTGCTTCGTCTAGTAAGCACGATCTTTTTGAACCATGTTCCGATCACATGTGAATGACAAGGAAAGAAACAGCACTCACTCAGCTTCGAGAATGAGCAGCTTCACAGAATTCACTTGGCTCAGCAGTCCTCTCGCATCATTCGCCGTGAAAGAACAAGCGGATCCACCAGACATAGCCTGAAAATGTGCTCCCTCTCCACAGAAAGCTGAGAAGTAAAAAATTCTGCTGAGCAGCAGCTTCTGGAAGGTACCACACATGTAAGTCCCTTTGAAGACACGCGCCGGGATTAGGCGCGCTAACCTGTTCCATTCCCGAGGCAGTAGACAGGCAGACAAGCAGTGACGTCGCGCCCCTTCTGCGGCTTGAAATGGCGCGACAAGGGCGCTAGGAGCTTGGCCGACGACCTTTTTCAACCAGGGATTCTCCTGCTTGACTTCAGTGGCTTCCAAATTGCACCTCCTTTATTGTGACAAGCGCCCCGCATTACTTAGGTCGAGAGAGTTTGGAAGTGTCATAGACGAATTTTCTATAGTTCAAGAAGTGGCCTACCATCTCCCAAAGTTTCGAGTCCGCTCAACTGATGTAGTTATGAACACTTCTAAGAGGTGAGAGATGAGATATAAACAGTACTTAACAGTGTACCAGTTTCAAAGTCTTTCCTGATACGATTCAGAGCTCCTCTGCATATGTGGTAGTAGAGGTTCATTCAAACTTTATCGTAGAATATTATTACCCAGTAAAGAAAGAGAGTTTTCATGTAGTCTCGATTTGAGTTTATAAGAGATCTATGTTGGGGGTTACATGATTTACATTCACCGCTGCATTTCATGTAAAGGATTTGGGTGAATCAAACTGGCAATGATAAAATGAATACTCAAGCCTGACCTGAAGAGCAGCCAGGTCGGTTACGAGTGGCCCATAGCCGACAGTGATGATACCATAAGTGCCGTTTCTTAGGATTTCGTCAGCAATTCTTTGCGGTTCATCGTCAAATCTGTAGAAACATCGTACCACAGTTGGCTAAGTTTCAATCTGAAGATGTAAAACTGGAATTTGATGGGCTTTCGACCGAGAGAAAACCGGAAGACGGGATTGAGGTCATGTCACTCGGCTTGAACTTCATCATGAGGAAGAGCTTCAGAGCTCCCCATCAGAGTAGGTTGTCTCGAGCTACATCGCGAAGCATGGAAGAACTTAGCTCAGGTCTCCAATTTTTCTATGAATAAATTAAACAATGTGGAGTCGAACAACCTTAGAAAAGGAAGCGTTCCGCTCCATTTTCAAATTTTCGCCATTATGCTGTCGACGTTTGCCTTCTTCATTGATGGCAGCGATTACGATAATTTAGGAGGGTTCAGAGAGACGAGGTGGTGGTGCACCAGTGGCGAAAAAAGCAGAGAAATCCGTCAAGAAAACGCAAAACGGGACCCTCTTTTTGGCCGTTGGTTTTCACTCATGAACAGGTAACAGCTCAGAAAGCGGACGTATGAACGAGTTCACCGCAACGCGTTTGGTGGCACCATGCCAAACCACGCTCCAATCGAGTTGCTCCAGTTGTGCCGCTGCTGGCAACGCAGCTCGTCCAAATCACCAACTAAACTAGTGGGCGGATCGCTTTTGGGGGCGGAGTGCTTTCGAAGTCCTGCTCAGCAACCAACCTTTCGTCGTGAAAGCGCCACATCTCGCTTCCTTGGCAGCCAAGTAACTGATTCGTGTGGTGCATATGCTTCCCGATGCGCTTCCTCCTTATCGTAGCTGCCTTTAAAACTAGAAATACGAAGCGGCTGTTCCCAGGGCAACGTCCCTTTCGTGTTCTACCAGCATCTCACACGAAAGATAGCAACTAGTCCCCATGTATAGCCAATATTTTGTAGAGAAGGTAGGTATGCCTAAATAGGAGCAAGCATTTCCGAAAAAAACAACTCAATTTGAAAAAGAGGACGATGACTAGGTGTCTCCCAATTTGCTCATCGGTATGCATAATGCCCTTTGGCCGCCCACCTTTCCGAAACTAATTGAAAATTCTGCCTGAAAATCCTTCACAAATGCCCGGTCGTGCCTGATCGGCAATTCAGGACCGTGATCTGACATCCAAGGTAATTTTGGCCCATTTTGGAGCTGCAGCCACCAGCTTTCGGTCAATATCAGCAGGGGTTCGGATAACTGTGGAAGCAAGTTCGAAATTGAAGAAGCTCGTGTATCAGTGCAAAAACGAGCATCCTTTCCAAAGAAATAAGAGACTAACGAACTCTTGAGCAGCCTTTCGCCATGATTCTATAATTCCACCGACAAACTCTTCAGGGTCCTAGCATAATCACTAAAAACCAAACTGAAAATTGAGCTGCGGTTCATGTACAGAATAAAAAGAAACGCAGCCACCGGCAGACTCGAATCACATCTGATGCAGCTTATCACATTACTGCGTTTTTATCCATCACAGGGAACTTTTCAATCAGGGAATGTTAACAAAAAGAGAACCTTTCACCCCATCGTAAATAACAGGAGAACAAAGATGATATCAGACTTACTTCGTAGTAGCTGTGACGTAAACGATCACATGATTCTTGATATAGGTTCGATATCCGGATGTTATGAATTGCTTAAGAACAGCAGTGGATAATGCCCTAAACATCTATACAGTTATCCACAAAACACCCAGCGAAAGTAGATGCCCATCATATCCTAGAGCAATCACCATTCGAGCACCACACATACGCTCGCCTGGTAAGGACTAAAACCAGATGCGGCCAGATCCGAATGGGAAATGCTATCGGGCTGCAATAGACGACGACGTATATAGAGAGCTGGGGAGGACACCACCGCATGGTTTCGAACAGTCAACATCGAGTGGACACTGGCGGAAATTCCGCGAGGATGAGTCGATCAACAGGGTCACGCTGGCAAGCATAGGCTCTTCTATTTTTAACTGCACTCGATCTCAGAATCTCAGCAACAATGATGGCTGCGAAATATCGCACCAGCGAAGAATTCATATCTTGTAAAAGTCTGTGCACAGTGGCACCCTACGCCCAAAGATAGTCTGAAGGCTCGATGGCATCAATGCGCCAAGATATTTGAACTCATGCGCAAGGTTAAATTGCCTTATGTGAATGCGAAGCTGATTTCGCCACGATTTTTTCCCTGCGGTTAGTGATCTGTGAATGGGCAGCTATGAGAAAGAAGCTGAACGAGCGATTAAGAAAATTCTTGCCTTAAGCCTTGTCTATGATTCATTACATAATATACCCAGTACACAACACTGCTGCTCCTGTCTGATAACAAGTTGAACAAGAAAATATGGCCAGAAGTGAAATCACTTTTGCTCCAAAAGTTTCGCCCTCTTTTTTACACGTGTTCGATCCACCAGGCCTGTTCTGATCTCCTTATTTTCAAATTTAAAGGCGTTAAAATTCTTCGCTCCTTTCGGGTGAAACTATTTAGAATTTGTCTTGCACTGAGTGCAAATAAACTGGAGTACTACGACTTGAAGAATTCAGAACTCGACGCCGAGGAGCATGACGACACTCAAGGTTATAAGCTGAAAAGGGGCACCGCGAACCGCGGGTTGACTCGCATTCTGAAATGACTTTTCTGCAGTTTTGTTGGAACTTTCCAGCTCTTTCGATTCAATTTTTGCAAGGGGTGCAAAGGCGGTTAAAGTCGCACCCCTTCTCTATTGAATTTGCATATGTTACAGTAATTAAATCCGAACCTCAAAGAGACAGCGACTTTGAAAATGATTCTCCTCTGCTTCACAGTGAAGGGTAAACAGCTGGAATGTGTTGCGGCTAATAGGAAAAAATATTGCAAGCCTCCAACCTCAGCGTGACTTGAACCATGATCACACTACACTTATACCGATAATTTTAGTTAGATGCGGACCGAAAGTTCTTGCGCTTTTCGGTTTCGTTTTTCAACGCCTTATTATTTTGTTACGAATTCAAGCAAGCCGCCAATGAGCTGTATGTGGTTTTGAAGAGCTTTTCTTGTTCTATCCAACAGCTAGGCTAGCTATGTTTCTTATCATTTAGTAGTCATTTTTTGAAGCCTTGAATACGGCATACTCCAAGAGCAAATTTGCATGATTTCCTTTTTCTAGCTCAAAGCAGGCCAGTATGGAGAGGAAGCAGGTCAAGATATTATAGACGCACTTGGCTGAGATTCGCAATAAATATGGTCTAAAGCAATTGTTCAAAAAGCTTCTTGTAAGAATAGCGAGAGCCCCAAAGATTGTACTGAGGGTGGGTGTGATCGGAGATTGGACAACGCCAACGATTAGTCGAGAACGTTCCAGTTAAGGCACGTTTGCACAAATCTATTGAGAGAGTCCCTCCGAAAGTAATCGCCCTTGCATTGTGTTTTCTTGTTGTACGGGAAGAGCTTTAAAGTCCCAAAAATTCAAATAGGGCGTGCCGCGACAGCTCACCATTTTGAAGGGTCGTTCGCCGCGTTCTAGCTTGTTTCATGCCATGAAAAGGACCTGACTTTTTGATCATTTGCGACGCACGACAAAGAACGGATTCTTTGCTACAGAATACGAACCTTTGGTGAAGTGATCGACCGCGATCAGGCTCTACAAACTTTGCAAAAGTGAAACTTCACTGAAGGAAGGTTGAGGTGACTTTCATAAGGTCAGCGGCTGGTCTAGCTTTTCGTAACCAGGTGGATCTATTAATGTGGAAAAAGTACTCCTGATAATGTGTAAAATTACTCCTAGAACTCTGGCACATATGCTCGAAATTCCTCATTATAAAGGAACCGGCTCGTCCCTGACAGGTAGCTCGGACGCACATTCCACAACCAACCCTGCAGAAGTTCGACAAGATTGGCTACGAATTAGTCCTGCGAACATCCTACTCGGTAGACCTTTTGCCTATAATTTTCACTTTCTCGACTACCTGGATAGCTTCTCCAAAGAGTTATGCTTCAAAAACCAACATGATGCGGAAACGACCTCCGCCGGGTTCATCGTCTCTAGAGCTCCAGTATTCTGCACTACCGGGCTGATTCAACGCAGCTGTTATTGGCAGAGGTTTGTGGATTCTAACAGTCTTTACTCCAATCAAAAAGGTTTCGAATGAGCCGAGATACAGGCATTTGAAAATCAAGGTCGAAAAGCGCAAGAACTTTCTTCACGACCTAATAAAATTAGAAGAACTTTGAGGTATCGAGTATTCAAATCAGCTCGTATGATCTGAATCACACAAATATGCTTCTGAAAAGGGGCACAAGGCATGGTGTACTTGTGAAGGAAAAGGTGACCACCTGCTGCCCGACTATGAACTGTTTTTTTTTTCGAAAGAGGAACAAGAAAAGAAGAAATGGAAACTTATTCAGCGGAAAGAAGGCAAACTCCCTAAAGGTACGGCCGCAGCGGCGCGAATTCGCAATAAGAGATGCCGTACCCCCCTCCCCCTTACATGCCATCCCCCGGGGCGCTTATAAAGGCATTCGAAGATGGGCAGCACCGATGAGAGTCGCGCATCGATAAAGAAATTAACATGCAAGGAAGGGTTCCATTTTTTGGTTCTGTAGCCATTTCCTCGGCTTTTTTCTTCACCCAGCACTACCAACCATCTCTACCTTATATTGAATGAGCTGCCTTCTGATCATTAACTCCCTCTTTGAATTCGTGGTAATCTTCAAGTTCTGTATTCGTGTATTGTAATCGCTATAGTTCTGTATTCAATATTCGTCGCTTTTCAAGAGCTACATAGCCATCGTATCCACTACAAGGCAGCAAGATCCGACCCATGAACAAGCTCCTATGGAGATAGTGATGTCTACAGTGTCCGCTGTTGGGGATGGGGTACGAATCGCCAGAAAAATATTGAGCAACGCCAAGCTGCATTCTGCAAACTAGTCCTGAGCGAAGCATAGCGTTTTGTTTTGAGCAACTGATCATCTTTGTTTATCCTCCGCAAGATTAGCTGCGGCGAAAAAATAGTAGTCAGCAAAATAGAACAAGTAAGTTC